AACGTTCCCAACCTTGAGAGTTATACATAAAAATATACATTAAAATCTTGCGAGTTTATATTTAAGAGAAAGAGATTATTTTCGAGTACTTTAAAAAATGTATATAATTGTAATCGAATAATAGTAACAATGGCAACGATAAAATAAGTGCATGCAGACGCATTGCAGACGCGAATCGGACTCTCTATCTTTCTCTCTCGTAAAAATGTTGGGCACAGGCTCGTTTCATACGAAATACAGGCAAATTCCTTTCCTGTATGTGTGTTTTAAGGTTCAGCATCAGCGACCCAAAAATCATGAACGTATTGAATTCAATTTTCTTTGTAACAAAAGAAAATTAGTCACTTGGAGCCATCATACTGGATCCGTTATTATAAATTTCTTGAATTTGTCTCCAAAGTCAGCGACCCGAAAAACATGGGTACATGCATCTAGTTTCATGCAACCTCGTTGAAAAACTTTGTTCGCTACACTCTTGTGCCTTGCCCGACATGAGTAATAAACTTGTCGTTTTTTAAAAAATTTTATTAAATTATATTGGATAGCACGTAACGCGTTCGCAATTCGTATGGGAAGGAAAGAAACCGCGATTATGAATAATTAACGATCGATGTCATCGCGTGATCGGTGAGTCGCACTGCCAATAACTGAAATTGTTTAGTAAAGAATTCTGCTCTGTGGTTGCAAAGAGTTAGTTTCCTTGTCATTCTCACAGCCAAAATTGATCCTTGCGAGAGCTTTTTCGCGGAAATCATACATAACAAAGTGAAATATAAATATAATATTATTTACAAGCATATATGCAATTCATATCCTCGCGTCAAATAATCGAGATTTGACGATGTTTGGTATTTGGTTAAATGGGGATTGTGCGCACACGCGTTCGTAGCTGTCACTAATCATGACCGCGAATATACATGCCGTAAAAAGCATAACCGCTATGCAGGACGTACGGAAGGGAAACGTACGCTCGAGGGGTTGCGTACAGGTCGCATTCATAACATCAGACGGAGTAATAAAAGTCAGCACCCTATCCCCGTTGCTTTCTACGCCGCCCTCGTTCTGCCTGGATACCCAGAGGAACGTGGGGGGGCGTGGAGATGCGTAGGTGAGTCAAAAAAAGCGAAAAGAGGGAGGAACGTTGCGACTCGTATTGTTCGCGCAGGCATGTGATATATTCGTGAAACGTCGTTGCACATATATATCTGTATATGTACGTAATATCTGATATTTTCAGATTTATATGTTCACCGAAGAATTTGGTGGGTTTTAGCGACTTATAGAGCGAATACTTTGTTGGGAGAAATGTGCACTCTCTGATTATGTACTAGATAAAGTATGTGGAAATATTTGTTATCACACATAAGGTTGTAAATTTTTAAGATGATATTTAATGATTCGCATTAAATTAATGTACATGTAAGAAGGGAAATTTTTCCATAAAATTTTTATGGAGAAATCTCGTTAAAAGATACATTTTTACGAGTACCTCGTAGATGATGGATAATCCTTAGTTAGATTTTGCTTTAAAGAGATTGACATAAATCATATTTTATAATTTAACTCGTTTACATATTGTTAAGAATTATAGTAAATGACAAGTATGTCTGAAAAAATTATTTTAAAAGAATTACAAACGAAGCGCTTAAAAAAGTCGATGTTTAAAGGCTCGAAGGACATGCTAGCACGACCAGTTAGGCAGACGATGATCGTACCCTGACAATCACTTTGTCCCAAATATAATCCCCCTGTTGTAAACCACTTCAGGGGCCACCCTCCTGGTCGGGTCAAGTGTTTTCTCCCACTACACATGCATCTAAAGGGTGGCATCGAAAGAATCGCAACTATTTCATTTTGGGGCAGATTAGATAGATTAGCGGACGAGGGATGCACGACCCAGCGATATTTAGAGATGTCATCTGCGACTAACGACATGGGGTCAAAGAATATTATTTTTTGCCGACTCCATGCGTGTCGTAATTTTGTGATTGGCATGTGAGCTATGTTTGCGTCTGTAAAAGTTTGCGAAGTAACATTATTGCCAATACATTGCCTCGATTTTAAATATATAATTGTATAGATACTATTTAATTTTATTATATTTTTTCTCCTTTGTAATATAAACAATATGTGCGTAATTAAAATACCTTAATGATTTTAATGTTTCAATTTCTAGAGCAAAAAAGAATTATTTGAGACATTTATCTTTTATGGATATAAATTTAATCCTAAAATATGTATTTTAAATTTTAATGAAATAAACAAATTGACGTATTCAATTAAATATATTTATGAAATTTTTGAAATACGCTGCTTTCGCACAATTATTTTAAAATTGAACAAGATAAAAATACTGCATAAAACTAATAATAAATTATGCGATAGAATTTGTTCTTGCGCTTGCTTGAAATAATAACAAATAAATTTACAAACTGTATTCTCTTCAAGAATTATTTCTAACGATTAACCTGTTGATGAACTCGGATCGGTAGGGAAGACATGGGTGCACAAAGGATTAAAATTTCGTTTGACATGTAAGGGACATGCAAATCTATAGCACTTGTATCACATGCTACTAATTACGCCGCGCTTTGAAGTTTTAATGCCTTCATCTTTGTGTAAGCTCTTGCCAAAAAGGATTAAATCGAAAATCGGATTCCGGTGTTTAATCTTTCGCAATATGAGCCTACGGAAGTCAAAGCACGTTGATTAAAATAATTCTCGATTAATGAGGACCTATACAACCAAAACGTAATCATCAATGAAACCGTATCTTTTTAAAACATTACCTTGAATATGTTAGACACGGAAGAAGATAACTAATTAAAATTCTTCACGTATGCTTAGAATTATATTTTAGGTGATTTGTCTTAATTGTTCTTATGCTGTCAAAGATTATGTGCAAATCTAATTATATCGCAAAAAAATATCACAGACTTAACTAATGTACTTATTAAAGAACTGAAGTAATTAAGGCAATGAAAATTAGGAGTTAAATATATTTCAAAACAAATGATTTTTCTAACATAATTATAAATGTGTAAAATGTTTTATAGTTATACGAGATTACTTTTAAATCAATATAATCACAATAGTTATTTATCAATATATTTATTATTAGATGTAAGTTTCGTTATCTTTTAGAAGGGATTATTTTAAAATATATTATACAATACTTTTTACAAGACATTATAATTTATTTAAATATTTGTATACAAATTATAGACTCGTTAAAATTTAATAGATGTTTGAGAATGCTTTTAGTGAAAAGATTAAAATCAATATGATTTTAAATAAAGAATTAAGAATTAAGTAATTATACATATTTCTACAATCTAACATAGGCCGGTATTTACAGTCAAATTTTATATGAATTTATCTAAAGATGCTGTGCGGAGCACGTCATTAGCTACGAAGTATCTAAAGATGATCTTGAGACAATCTTGAAATATAAGATCTGGTTATGAATACTGGCCATAGACACGGCTGGAGTTCCCATCAAGACTAACTGTCGACGAAACAGAGAGTGTGATTATCACTGGTTGCTAAGAGTTCATATATCTTTTATTGTTCAGTTGTTTTAATATGATGATGACAGATGGCTTTGAATAATTTTAACTGTATAACTGGTGAAAAATCTTGCTGACGGATATTATTTCTTAAAAGTTCATTTATATTCATATAAAATAATGCTTCGTAAGAGTCCATCAAAGTTGGCAATTTAATTATGCAAGTCTTGCAGTAAATATTGTGTTTTTATTAAATAACACGGTTGTGTAAATTTTTTAACTATTACATTTGAGATTTGAGATTTTTATATTATATTATTATCTTAATAATCATACGTATTTTCGTAATATTAATATTGAGTTCTGGACAACTTTAAGGGCTGGAAACAATAAAACACCCTAGATTATTTATATAACAATTTACTCTGTGTTTATTGAAATCACTATAAAGTGGATTTTAAAATCTTGTTGGGTAAGAAATAATAGTACTGCGATAAATCTACTTCAAGCATACAAATAAAAGCATTAACTATTATAATTATTAGTGTAAAATCTGTTTAGTACATTGAATATTTTTTAACTGTTATCTAATTATTTATATTGTCTAGCATTGTAATTCGATTAAATATCATACGGTCCAGCTGTATGTTATTTTCTGTTCTATTTACAAACAATCAATAAGGCTTTATTTTGCGTGTATAATATTGACTTGAATATATATACACATATATGTATATATTTTGCACCAGTTATATACAAATTGATAAGGCGGATATCAGCGCCATCTTCGACACATATCCAAGCTAGAATACCAATGTAAAATTGGTGACGCACAAAACTTCCTACGTCGATGAAGTCTCGAGAGAAAGTGACGTTCCACGAGTTCACGGAACAGGCGCAACGTTCCCATTGTCAAATTGCTGCGATCGACACACGTGCCTACGTGGACGGCAAGAAATCGCTAAGAAGCAGCCTTATATTTTGTAGAGGGATTAGAATATACAGCCCCCACGTCATCGGTTTTGCTCGTAAAGGGTAAACACCCTCTAATGTCAGTGCCACGAACGGAGTTAGACTCGACATAATGAACGGCTCATCGCGTAAGGTGAAGAATCCGTTGTTGTCCGGCGCTGGTCCGGGCTTTCCCTTCGACAATTACGCGGAGAACACGTTGCTGGTACCAGTCACACCCGCGACACCCGCCGTGCTCCGAGATGGTGAGTTCAATCTACGAAAAATCGTGGGCGGGGTTCAGGAGTCCGCAAATTTTACACGTTGTACGACGTAACGACATAGGCAATTGGATAATGATCGAAATAAGAGTTTCACATGAGGAAACAACCCTCTTGCTCCGATCGCTCCACCTCGCTGCGCTTGATTTCTCCAGCATCGCGCTTTTGCATTTGGCTAGAATGCACTCGTGGACTAACATCTGTTATTATCGATCATCCTCTATCGGCATTACAGAGGAAAAGACTGCGCGATGAAAGTCCCTGGCTCCAGTGTGGGGCGTTCGTGTCTCCTAGACTAGGCTAACCCAGATAGTTTTTAGAGTTACATAAAACATATTCACGGAAGTTGTAATGATGCAACGGACATCATGTAAGATGATTTCTTTGCGCATGCTTTTTCTACGACTACGCACAAATCAGTCTAGAAATAGACTACAAAAGACGGACGCTTTAAACTAGGAAGGTTTCTTCAAACAGAATTGCGTAGGTGAACTCGTGTGCAAGAGCTGCAAAGTACATACTCATCGAACAATTCATCAAACAAGTGTCTAGTGTAGGAAAATATATTGTGTCAATAACTGATTGAGTGATTCGACTCGAAATTGAGGAAGTGGCAAGGTTTTTCCGTATTTTGTGTCTTTAATTTTATATGCGGATGCATACAGATAAGTTAAACGCTTCGCTATGCTCATCAACTTGATTTAACACAGGAGTTAATTAAATACTTTATTTATGTACACATTGTGATTAATATATCGGCAGTTTCATTCACAGTTTTTATAATATGGTTGATTATGCTAGGGGATGTTACAGAGAATTGATTCTTACAAGTATTGTTAGAAGCTTGTTCTTTCGGCTCGAGCAGGCTGCCGAGCAGTCCCATATCTTTGTGAGTAGGGTAGATCGTGACTGTTCCGTTTACGAACACAGAAAACTATTGCGACAACGAGAAGTATTAGGAGAAACAGTAGAAACAGTGCGCCAAGTACGATAGCTGCTATTTCTCCTTGCGATAGGTTGTCCCACGCATTTACATCGATCGTACGAGTATATTGATTCTCCAATATGTCTATCGCTGTAATTGTAGCTGTTGGGGTGCAGCATGTTGACCAATAATAGAATGTGACACGATCCTTCGTGCCACTTACGTATTTAGTACGTGGATATATCCTATTCGGAATTGCTGCTACATGTTTCAAACCTGTAAGGAGATTTGTCAGTTGTGTATACAAAAGTTTTCACTGCTATACCTACTACTGATTCGTTTGTCATCATTTCTACATAATTCATTGACTACCTGAATCATAATCTTGAACAGTGATGTCAGCGCTCCAAAGTGTTTTTTCGCAATAATCTTTGTTCTGCTTGCCAGCACAGTTGCTATTGAACGAATACTCAATTGTTGGCTTTACATTGTCAACGTTCTGAACAAAAAATAGAAGTCAGAGATAGAAACTATATAGCGATAATAAATGTGAAATATACCAGTGTAAAATCGAAAATTTATATTGAGTAGAATTAATTGTTTGTGTTAATTTGCACTGTCTTACGACATTTTTCTAATTTTCATTTTTAAATTTGTGTCAAAGAATGTAGGGAAAAACGTTTTTAAATAATTAATCACATTTTCTTATATTTACCTTGGAATACACGTTTTGAGCATAAACGTTTACTGTTTTCTCTGATATTTCGGTACCGACAATCTGCACTGTAAGCGTATTGACAGTATCTTGGCTACCCGATGGTATAAGAATATCTACAGCTACCTGGTCTGTTTGTCCTGGATACAGCCACATGCTGTAGAATATAAATTTTTATGAAGACACACATAAAATTTTTGGAAAAGCAAGACAAATATAGATATATTCGTAGATACAATGTTTTACTTTATAGACCCTGTTAAACGCTTTAACATAATTATATTCTTTGATTATGATAAATTTTGAAGTATGAATTGTAGGAGACGTATTTGCAGTAAGTAACGATATTAGTTTTAATTCAATTTTATTTCTCAATTAATGTAAAATTAATGTTAACTGTTTATCATATAAAAATATAATAATTGTGTAATCTTTAATACAATTTTCATCATGTGATCTACAACATTTGAGTCAAAGTAACAAACAACACTTATGTTTCTATCTATGATCCACAAATATTATTTGTTTGCTGTTGGTGAAATATTCAGGTCACTTGTCAGCGTGACGTTGGAGTTGTATAAATAGATGTGCATTTTCATTCAGTAATTTCAATACTTAATATACATTAACGAAGAAGACTTAAATTTTTATTCTTAAAAATTAGTAACACTATTTAATTACTTATAAATCTCTATTTACAATTAATAACGTGAATAATTTTTCACTACAAATATAATATTCTACATGTATTTACTGGCTTGCATTAGTTTGTATAATTTGTGTAGTTAAAGTTTCTAAAAAAATAACTTATTTTATTTAGTTATACCAAGTTAATTCTCACACTTACTATGTTGGTTGAATGTTGTAAATTCTGAATGGCGAACTTCTCGCTTGAATCACGTATCTGACTGGAAGTACGCAATTATTTGTCGCATCAAAAATGATTCTGTGTGTTGATCCTGGCGCGGCAATCAGTTTACTGTTAGCATTCAAATCTAACAGTATCTTCCTTCTTTCAAAAGGTTCCTCATTTGCGTTGTAAATTTGCGTTGAAAATTTTTGACTTTGATCACTATCCGCCATTTGCATTCGTACAGTCTCACTTATGGATGATTTTATCTTCGTATCGACATCTTCAATTAATGAAGATACTTCTGATGATCGTGCTTGAATTTTCTGGTCCTGTAGAATATAAAATCGTATTTATTTCATATCATAATAGTAAAAAGCTTCTTCCTGTTAATTCCTATGATTTATCAAAAATGAAAAAGTTACTACAAATTCGTTTACTTGGCAAAATAAAATAAAATAAAATACCTAACTAGACATGCACTTTTCCGTTAAATATCAGCACATTAAAACATACCTTAGGCCTGATGCTCAATCTTTGATCCCTTTTGATATTGGATGCATTTGGTAAAATTTTAAATTCACCATAACTCATGAAGGAATTGTTATATAGGGCAAAATTGATAATTTTTTTATCAATTGTTGCAGTAGAATCACGCGAGGAGACTGATATACCGGAAAAACCATCTGTCATTGTCTCGTCACTGCCTTTTCTTGAATCCATAATTTCTGCTGATCTTTCAAATACGAACTTTCGCTTTCTATTTATTGTAGGATTCATTAAAAGTGTGCTATTGTCAGTGTTCTTGCGAGTATTCTATAAAATACACAATTTTAATAACTACATAAGCGTGTATTCTAATAATTATAATTGTATATTACATAAGTAAAGTGTAGTATTTAAATTCTATTTAACTTACTTGTTCTAATTCATTAAGCTTAGCTTTATTAATTATGGTTGTTGGCTTGTTTTGCGTGATACGTTTTTCATCTATAAAAAATATATTTTATACAAATTTTCTTTTATAATGATCTCTAGGGGAATAAATAAAAATTTACAATAATATAAGTTTTATTGTTACTCGTATAACATTCTTTTAATTACTCTCTTATAATACTCGTATATATGTTTTAAATATATTCTTATACAAATAATATGGAATTGCGTCTTAAAATTTTTGTATGTCACAGTATCATTTTTCCATAAGGTTATTCAACTTCATTTAGATATGTAAGTAAAATAGCTGATTGTGAAACACTTGTTAATTTTCTTTGTTAACAAAGCTAAAAATAATAGATCTTTATTACATTGGAATGTAATTATACATTTATTACAAATATAGAAAGTAAAGGAAACTGTAATTGTAAAAACTGCAAAAACATAAAATTATAACAATAGAATTAGAAGAATCTGTACGAAAGAAATAGGTACTGGAAATATTAACGGGACATTTCGAAACAACAATTAATTTTACTAAAATGCGTGGTAAGAAAAGTAGGTATACTTGATGGATCAATTAAAAATAGAATTACGGATAATAATAGTATTGGCGTAGTTTCGAGAAATTCAATGGCCGCGAGAGAGTTATTTAAATTTCTATTCTAAGAAACATTTGATTATATGTCTTTTTAGGAGTGGAAATAATCGTTTCTTCTAGCTAGTTGCATTCTAACGATTGTATTGAAAAACAAAACGGGCAGTTTTCTTAGACCACCTTACTTCCTGTGTGAGTTGACGTACGTCAGAGTACAACTCGAGTAAAAATAAAAGAGAGACAGTGGGAGAGAGAGAGAGAGAGAAAGAAAGATGTGGCCAAAGAGCAACGAATGAATTGCACAATCTCGCGTACCCGCGAGCTAGAAGCTAACGGGTTGGCAGTGGTCAGACGACTACCGCGTTAAGAGGAAGTTGGAAGTTGTGCGAGAGTGTTCGAGTGAAACTTGAGCGTTTTGTATCGCAGTTTGTCCGTGAAAAGATTAAAGTGAGTGATCCCCTTTGCTCTTACTACGAAGAAATAAGAGTACTGCATATGTGAAACAGAATATATGTGATAATATATGGATCCTGTCGAGTATAATTCACGACTGTGGTAAAGTTGCGAGATGTATATCGTTCCTTTTGATTTGTACTTCTGTACGATTCTACATTTAATTATGCAGTAATGTTGATAATTCTTTGGTCTTTTCTTTTGAAGCACAATTGCTATTTTACACTACGAGATTTATTCCGCAACAATAATAATATGACATATTTCTTATACTGAAATGATATTATGCTACAAAATGTTACATTTTACGAGCTTTTGTTGCAATATTATTGCGTTTATAAAATCACAGCTCAATTATTACAAATTGTCATTATTCAATTTTGAAATTTGTTTGGCTGTTTTACTAGATTAAGTAGGTTATAAAATAAGTGATAATGACCTCGACGTATAAGACAGTTACTTATCTCATATCGACAGTTTCATAATTAATGAATTAGTATTGATATGATGCACATACAAATGCATTTCTAAATCTTAGAAAATCTGTGCAGCAATTAATTTATATATATTGAAAATTTATATATATAGTACTTTAAATAAAATACAAAAATAAAAATATAGACTCTATAGGGAAATACAATCAGAACTGACACAGTTGTGAGGTGATCGTGCATAACTTTTCTTTATTTGCGATTCAAATATAAGTACTGTATGATCCCCTAACAACTGTGTCGGCTCTTATTGTCCGTTTTGTATTGATCAATTTATCGTTTAGATAAAATATTTTTATAAATGCATTTATATGTAAAAAATTAGCATTTCTGTTTTGTATGCCGTTAAATCGCCGTGTAGGTACTATCACCACGTATTGTAATTTGGCTTACCATTCGTGAAGTCAGTGTCAGTAATATCGTCTCTTATACTATCTTCCTTATTTGCTGCATAGTAAGCAATCACATCGAAGTCGTACTTTGAATTTTCCACTCCCGTTAGCTTCACGTACCACCTACCCGGTAGGTTGCGCGCGCCGACAGCCACCCCTTTCGTGTTGTATGTACTTGCCAATGACATCACTACTCCTGGTCTCTCTACCATTCTGCCTGTTAAAGTGTAATGGAAGTGAAAATTATTGTTGAATCAAACATCTCGTTGGTTAGGATGGTAAGACAAATTGATTGACAATGAAGGAATCGGAATTCGTCAATGAAGTATTCTGTTCTCTTGCATTATTCTTATTTATTGATTATCAGGCTGTTGTGTGTAAAGTACGCTGTGTGAAGTATATCGTGTATTGGTTAAAATTATAAAAACTTTGTGAATCGATGAAAGAATGGAAGAACTATTTCTCGTGTGACATAATTACTTATATTAGTGCGACGCAACGAACACGACGGAGGCAACCACCCGGTCGATACTGTCCTTGAAATGGAGGTTAAACGAAACCGGGTGTAACGACAGTAAACCTATATATTTCAATTGAACTTATCCATAAATACGAAAATACGCATATAAATGAACGAATTAATTCGATACTGCAATTAATTTCCCATTTTCAATAGTTTCCTTACGTAATAGTTGGTCTTTAAGTAAGAAGGGTTGTAATATAGGATTCTATCAAATCCATCTCCGCACTAACGAAAAGAATAATAAGCATTTTCATGTTATATATTATTTAATTAATTGTATGCTATAATAGATAATACATTTACAACAATCGATATCATGCATGTGTTCAAAAGTATGCTATTTAAACATCATATTTGATATAGATATAGATAGTTTGAATTGATATAGATAGTTACATTGCTTATTTATTACCGTGATTTTACTGCCATCGTAAATGTCAAAATGACCAAATGTGAGAAATTGTTTAGTGCGTATAATATATAAAATTCATCGTTAAATCTTTTTTATATAAAATGATTTGGACCGAAATATTGTTTAAATAAAAAGGAATTTTTCTTTTATTTAAAAGTAAAAAAGAATAATTATTTACCTGTAGGTATTACTAGAGCTGCTCGCGTAAGATTTCCAAAAATATTAATTGCAACTCCAGTTACATTAGCATCAGTTTCAAAATTAGTTTCAGTGTATCCGCGCAAATTAGTCCTGCGCATTAATGTCTTCTAAAACATATAATTACAATTATATTAACACATATAATTCATTCTTTCGACTTTTTATTCTTTTTCATTGTGCAAATATTAATTTCTAACTTACCGATAATTCTGGAGTATTTGAGAAATAATTTTTAATCTCAATATTTTGTTGATTAAATTTCTGATTCCAATAAAATTCGTCGTTTTGGGTAACCAAATTTCGTCCCATATTTATGACGCCACAGTTCAAATTAAGATAGATCTATAAATTAAGATAGATCGATAAATATGTAATAATACTTACAATTAGCGAAATTGATAATTTCTACATAATTACTTACTTGGCAGTAGTCTAACATTGTTGAATTTTTATTATCCATAGAAATATGTCTTAATATTCTCATGTTTGGATTATTTTCTAATGAAAAATAATCTGAAACAAAACATAAACAAATTTAGTTATGTAAAGCTTAGATTATCATTTTTATAATCCATACGTATTAAATATTTATCTAACTTTGATATATCTAGGATTGTAATTATTGACTTAAACAAACTTCTTGAAGCAATACGTAGCATATGCAACTATTCATATGATTTATAACAAGACTACTGTTACTGTTATCAAAGTACGTCATGTTATTTGTAGTCTTATCTTGAAAATTTCAGATAATGTTTAATTATGCGTCATCAACTATCAGGATCTGCAGTTAGAAATAAATAATTGGCAATTTCAGCTAGAAATTTCTAGAGTCTGTTTACGTCAGTCTTTATATCAACGTGACAAACAATGGCAATAACTATGATAAGTTACAAAACAGTCATTTATGTTAGGTCTCACTTTATTATTCACACTATATTAAAATTATTACCTTCTCTCTCTCCGTTCTGATCAGCAAATGACAAAATAAGATTAATATCCTCAAAACCTTTGTTAACTCCCAATTGTTGTATACAGTACCTTTTAACAAAATATTTAAAAAATATCAATGTTTTAGAAATACTGTTTCTTCAATAGATTTTAATATAATTTTCTTTTGCATGCGTTTACGTGTTGAAAATATATTTATAAGCAATTGGAACATGATAAATAGTATAAAAAATTCATCGACATGTTTACTGTTATTTTTACGCGAAACTTTATTACTGTGTAAATTAATATAGCAAACCTAGAACATTTTGCTTTTTTGAAATTGCTTAAGATTCTCGTATTTGTCCTCGTTGATAGATCCTTCACAAACGGAGATTCTCGTAGAGTTTCAGACTTAGGCGTATCATCCTTCAAAGTAATTCCATCTGGTCTCATTTCCGTCTGGATTGATTCCTCGATTCGTGCATTGCCTACCTCAGACATTCTCGCATCTGGTTGGAAAGCGTTATTAATCGATAGGGAAACTTTAGCGATTGTTGATCCACCGATTGCATTTCTGCATAGAATGCAACTTAGATAGTACGTCACGAAAAGCCAGAACACACGTAATTCCATTATGTGACCGCAAGGAAAACCTCGAACGAAAGACTTAACACAAAAATGTGCGGCATACTTATAAAGTTTCGTTCGCGTAAGTTTACAGAAGGGTAACGTGTCTTCAGTTACATTGACGATAACATGGACAAAAGTAAATCTGGGCGGTAACGCATGTCGTTGCACAATCATAGGTGCCTCGTTGTGAGCAAACTTTGATACTTGTGTACCACATTATAAATACCATGACTATTGCATTCTAATTCTGCATCGAATCGAGCGTTTGTTCTAATTAAAATCACATGTGATGTGAAATAATATCGTCCATCATTTTTCTTTCAAATCAATAAGTAGAAATGTAAAAACATTTTTATTGTTACTTAAACTGCGTTCTTATAATAGCTAATAATTAAACTAATTAATTCTTATAATAACTAAACTGACGAGGGCACAGGGAATTATTTTATTATAAATATACAATGTGTTAGCGAACTGTTGAAAGTAAATTTCTTATTTTATGCAACAAATATTTTTATTAATCATGATCTATGCTTACACGTGTGATTATGGGTGGTCCACAAATAAACATGTGTCATCACAAAAACGTTCGTAATTCAAAGTCCATCAGCATACTCGTGATCCGCTACGTAAAAGAGTAAGAATAATCCTCATTGGTTCGAATTATCTTCGTCATTGGTCTTACGTTCATTGCATCCTGTTCAATATTGACAGTTCGTGAATAATCTGGAGAATTCGAGGGAAATATTTTGTGAACACATTGTTATATCTGATTACTTAAAAGTTATTAAATAGATGTACTAAGAATTACTAAATGCCACGCTAACTTTTGAAAACTTTGTCTAAATTTCTAAAAAGAGGAACATTTACTCTATAAAAAATAATATTAAAGTTATATTACTCAGACATTTCTGTGATAATTAGCTTCTTCAATATCTTCCTCGATTTTTATATTCCAAAACACAACAAAAGAAGCATAAATTTACTTTTCTTTACTTATTTCAAGTGTTCTGAACAAATTTCTTTTTTAAATCACATAAATAGTTTCTGCTATAACGCTTTTAGGCGAAAAAGAATGCCACAGATATTTGTAAAATGTTATAAAATATTGTCCGGCAGTTTTAGATCAAGTGAGTAAACAGTTATCTTTTTTTCAGATCCTGAGCTCGACAAATTCATAGGGCAAGAGCCGGTCAATATCCAATCCTCCTCAAGAACGAACAAGGATTCTCCAACGAATGCATCTTTCCAGCCAAAAGAAAGCAAGAACACGGAGAATCGGCCAGCAAAAACAGCGTATGACAGGATAACTCCGTTATCATCGATTTCCTCTTCTCTATCGAACTTGTTGTCATCAACTAAATCCGATTCCTTGGGACCGCAAATAAGTCAGACACCCGAGAACACTAGTGGAACGACGCACGAATCTAATCCGAACACAGTGTCGAGACCAGTTAAGTTTCTGGATTCTCCAAGTACAAACTTGTCAGGATTTACTTATACTGCGAGCCCCATTGACACTGTACCCAACCCTCTTCAACCCGCAGCTCCACCCAGTATATCTCAACCTGGTTATGGTAAGCACTAATTATGATTAAATAAAAATCTTAAACTCTAAGGTCAATTTTTATTTTTTAAATATGTTATTCGTATATTATAATATTTTATGTTTAAGTTTTATTTGATGTATTCTTTGCTGTGTATGCAACAATGTTATACATACGTAATAACATGTGTTTCAAGTATATTATCTAATCAGAGACAATTATTACTTTCTGTTCAAGCGCCCGTTTCTTATCGACTTGGTAATCAACGACGCTTAAAGTATGCACCACCGCCTGATTTAACGTCTAACAACGCAAGCACATATCCGGATCCAACGTTTCCGTCGTATTTATTACAGTCTCAGCATGGTTCTGCACCAACCATTTTGAATCCGTGTGAATCGGAGGGATTGGCGCAAGGCAACAGTTCTAATACACAGCAGATCAGTGCTTTGCCCGAACAGCTTCCAACGTCTGAGCAGCTATCGCGAAATAGCTCTCTCCATAACTCATTTCGATCCAGTCCAGTTACAGCAGGAACAACGTCGTACAACTCGCCCATACCGTCTGCAAACCAGCATACATTTTTCGAAAATACTTTCGCGTCTGGGCAATTTCTTCCATCGTTGTCTAGACAGATACCTGCAAGGGTATTGGAGCCAGCAACGCCACAGAACACTCCGGCAAACGTATCATTTCCCAGCTTCGCCTCTTACCGGGATTTACCATCGACATCTAATTTCGACAAAGAAATAGCTGCGCTTAAGAACCCCAATCTAAATTCACCACCGGAATTTTCGAAAGGCAATACCCTCGAGACGACAGAATCTGCGTATAAACCGACATTGATATCCGGGGAAACCGGGGCCACATTTACGCCAATATCAGCAGCGAAGGTAACGGAGAAGTTAGAACATTTACTTGCGGAACAAGAATATTCTTGCGCAGCCACTCCGTCGGAAGTTGACGAAATTACAACATCTCGCGTCGCTACCGAATTAGCAGCGAAATCTATCGAACCGCAGAGCGAAGCGCTAAAAGCTACAAATGAGATAATCGATAAATCACACGAGGCAAAGTTAAATGATGTACAAGGGAAAGCCGCTCAAGCTGGAAGTGACACATGGAGTGACGTGTTTCTTGGGCAAGAGCCAGCGGCGCAATCAGTGATCTGCCCGGAAATACACACTACTGATAACAGTGTAACGGATCTCCAGGCGGCTAAGTCAAACGTACATCCGCCTCAACAGCATTATCAAGTGCAATCAATACCCGCGCCAAGCTCCACCTTTTATACAAACAAGTCTGCAGAACAAAAGTCGAGCTTAAATTACGTATCGCCCGTTCAACTTCCTCAGAAAGTTTCTTCTTCCGCTTCCGATTTCTACAACTTATCAAAACCAACGGAACAGTCAACAAATGTGTTCTTTGAATCGGCGAAACCGAGCCGGGTCTCGAGTTTTCCGTCTCCTGAAAGCAATACAAATTCACCGTTTGGACAGCCAGTAATTAATATCACAAATAATCCGTTGCAAGCTCAAGAAAATTCCGCATTTAGCTCTAAAGCGACCAATTCCACGGATCTTCACGTGCCGTTTTGGAACGCTGATCAATCACAAGTGTTAAACGTTGCACCCAACCAGCCGGTGTACACCGCGCATAATCAACCGGTATACGCTGCTCCTATTCAACAATCAGCGCCGGTATTTTATAATCCTGTCCAATTTGCGAATGAACCGTCTAAGCAACCGACTTTTCCACATACGTACGACCAGCGTCCTCCTCAACAGCAATCGTATCAAAATCCGCCGTTTTACGGAAGCGAGCTGCAACAACCTTTCGCTAGTCCTGAAAATAGCATCGCATATCCCACGCCTGCTGTCTCGTTGGCAACGTCAGTACCTGAACCGACAGGATCAGCCACACTGAGTCCTGTTCAAATGTCAGTTAATTCGCCAATTAATCGCGCCACCCCAGATACTGTGCCACCGAGTTTTCAGAATTGGGTAGGGCACTTGAGCATTTTATGCTTTTGATTCATTTATAAAAAATTAAGTCCAAATACCTTTTAACGTTTTGTAATTGAATACACTATTAATGAGTTATTATTTTTATCTTCACCTAATTAACTCATATTTATTTTTTAGCACAATTTTACAGTTTATGCCTAAACTTATACTTGTGTAAATACAAGATTATTAAGTTACGATATATTTATTCTTAATTGTCCGAAGCATAGCAACACTACATAAAGAATTACACCGAGAACATTTTTATCTTACTAATATTTTATTAATATTTGTAGGCTTCTGGATCTTCCGACAAATATACGACAAACTTCCGAATGCAATACAGACCGGTATATCACCACTGGTTTTACCGCAAAGATGTGGAGAACAAAACGCTATGGCTGCCATTCTCCATGCAGGACAGCTTAAAGCTAGAAGACGCTCACAATTCGAGTGATATTACGCCTGAAACTACAGTGGCTACTGATGGCGGTCGTTACGACGTTGATATCTTGCGTCGTCAAAGAGCACCCGTTTACTGGACTGGAACGTCTACCGAAGTTAGACGATGTTCTTGGTTTTTCAAGGGGGCAACTGAAGCTAGATACGTTCCTTATAATGAGAATATTGCTGCGAAACTTGAAGACGAGTACAAACTGGCATGCCAGTCGAACAATTGGAACCGCAAGGTTGAATTAAGTAATGGAGAATATATTATCTTCCATAGCGCTACGGTGCAGAACCATTACTTGCAACCAGCTTCTCCTGACGCGGCAGGATCTTGGGGAAATAACGCTGTAAGTAGATTTTGTAGGTAATATATAACAAATTAAACATTAAATAATGGAGTGTATATTTCATTCAGAAAATATTTAATTAAACCTTGATTATAAAAGTTTCATTTGAAAAATTAATTAATAAAAGAGTTAAAGTACAATGTTTACTTGTACAAGTATTACACACGATACTTCTTCATAATTTTTTAAACATTTTTATATTATTAATATTTGTGTATTATCAATATTATTGTATAGCTTGTTCTAATATAAGTTAACTATATTTTGTACTATATATCTATAAAATAAAACAAATCGTTTGCTCTGTATCGTGCGATCTCTTATTAAAAATGCTTTGCTTCATAATGTATAATTGAGTTATTTTGTTTAACAACACTACATTAATATTATTTAGCTTTATATGTATATACATCTGTTGTGCTTTATATATTGCGATTAAAAGCAAGACATAATAAATACTCCATTGGCACGTCTTTCATTTATTGTGCAGAGCATTATTGCTAATTTCAAATATTTGTTACTTTCATTGTTTTTAAGATATGTAGATAATTTTCTAACATTGCACGCATGGTTCTGTTTGACATGGTGGGTCCTAATTTCTACAGGCTTCAGAGGACAGTACATATTTACAGGGTTCTGCAAGCAAGCCAAAAGTTGTTAAAAGAGGAGTTGACGAATTCAACATAGACGAGGGTGAACCCGAGCAAGTAGATCATCTTCTATTTCTTGTTCATGGTATTGGTAGCGTTTGCGATCTCAAATTTCGCACTGTAGAAGAAGTTGGTAAGTTGCGAAAAATGTACCATTGATTGGGAATATATTACCCAGGTAGCACGTCTAACTTACGCCCTTTTTATAACGTCATGCGTCCACAATAGGACGTCAAATACATGTCATATAAAAGACACATGACGTCTTGGACAAAATATGACGTAAAATAGACGTCAATAAGATCATGCGTGCTACCTGGGTAGTTACTTTAGTTATTTAGAAAAACTAAATGTGTGATATTAATCTGTATTTATGTGAAATAATGCTAAATTTTTCACGACAGTTGATGAATTCCGAGGTATATCATTTCAATTGGTGCAATCGCATTATCGCACTGCGTGCGAGCAGGGAGTCGTAAATAGAATAGAAGTTTTACCGATCTCCTGGCATACAACGCTTCATTCCGATACGGGAATTGATAAGCAACTGCAAGCTATCACGTTGGAAAGTATCCCGAAATTGCGACATTTTACTAACGATACTTTGCTGGATATACTTTTCTATACTAGTCCGATATACTGTCAAACTATCATGCAAACAGTTGGAAGTGAGATGAACAGATTACACACGCTATTCAAGGAGAGAAATCCCACCTTTGATGGAGGAATATACTTAGGCGGTCATTCTTTGGGTAGCTTAATCATGTTCGATTTATTGTGTCATCAAAAACCTACAAAGGAAGATGAAAACGACACGAATAATGATGAAGTGAGTAACGACAAAGGAGATATATAAGAGATATATATTTTATTAGATTTTATAATTAATTTAAAAACTTTTATATTTAGGCAATAAAATATTTATTACAATTGCAGGAAGATGACAGTATTGTGCCCATTAAGGCAATGCCTGCAGCCGTTCTTAGGAGACGTCTCAGTAGAAGAGTCAGCTACGTAATGGGGGCTGCAGGAACAGGCCAACCATACATACATTATCCGCAACTCAATTTTCACCCGCGTGCCTTCTTCGCTCTTGGCAGCCCGATTGGCATGTTCGTAACGGTCCGAGGCATCGACACTCTTGGAGAAAATTTCACTCTGCCTACTTGTCCGGCTTTCTTTAATATCTTCCATCCGTTTGATCCGGTAGCTTACCGAGTAGAATCATTAATTAACCCCGAAGCCTGCAATTTCCGACCTATGCTGATACCACATCATAAAGGCAGGAAGAGAATGCATTTAGGTGAGTGGAAATGGTTGATTTCTAGATTATGTATGTGTTGATTTGTAATGAAAATTTATAAACTGTTAAATTGAACTTATATACTTAATAATATTTATATTACTTACAGAATTAAAGGAAACAATGGCACGTGTCGGGGCGGATTTAAAACAGAAATTAATTGATTCCGTGAGACACACGTGGAACTCTTTCTATCAATTAGCCTTATTTCAGAAGCCAGACAACCAGGCTCTGGAACGCGAAATCGATAAAGTTGTCGAAGAACAGTTGCACAAACCGCCGAGCGTATCAGATCAACAGAGCAACGATGAATATGGTGCCGACTTAAAAATAGGAAAACTTAACGGTGGTCGAAGAATAGATTACGTTCTTCAAGAAGCGCCTTTCGAATATATTAATGAATATATTTTTGCTCTCACAAGCCATATTTGTTATTGGTACAGTATATTCCTCGCAAGAAATAAGTTGTATTATATACGTACGCTACACATACTGATTTTTAATTTGATTTATTTTAGGGAATCCGAAGATACTATGCTTTTGATATTGAAGGAAATATATGGATCTAGAGGAATTCAGACCGACGCACAACTTCCTCAGCAAACAATGTCAATCGAGAGAGTATCTCCGTCTCCCTCTTTGAATTTACCTGCCTCGTCACCAAGTGGAAGTAATGCAGGACCATCACTTGTTATGGGCACAGATCCTACAGTGCCTATGTCCAGTAAACCTGTCGGTCCACCACCTAAGACTGGTTTTGTACCGAAATCCTGATCGATAGAATATTTTTCTCACAATTACACGCCGCAGGATTAAATTGTATTGAAACAAAAGTCAATTTTACTTCTATTTGGTTATTTAAAAAATGAAATATTTAATTTAGCGTTATCCCTGACGTTAGAAGAAAAAAGACGGAATGCAGTAAATTAATCAAACTTCATATTTTACAGCATCTTCCCATTATCGCTAAATTTTAGTAAAACTCTAATAATGTATAAATATGAAATATTAACTGCACAAAATTGGCCTACATAACCAACTCATTGGGACAAACTTTAGTTTATAGTGAATTAATTATTAGAAAGTATGTAAATAATATTTCGATTTTTTGGTATGTTAGAATGATCGGCAATACTTCGTTGCAATTTGCGTTTATTTACATATTTAGTGCATATTCAATGATAGGCTTGGGCTGTGTGTGGTTGTGTGATCGAAAATATGTACGGAGTATTAACCAGAGAAAAAAGATATGGAAATGAGAATATGCAAGTGGAAATAAATGATTTACAATTTAGTCGGATAAAGATATAGTAGATTATATAAACTTTTGTAATCTGCTTAAACGAATAATGAGCATACCGATTTTGATTATTAAATAATGTACGCGCGTATTTTAATAAATTACTGTATTCTTTTATTATTGCCAATAACTTTTCTTCCCTCATATAATTTAATTATAGGTTTATGCTGATGCTATGAAATATCGTTATTTAATTGATATTATTAGTATTGATTCCAAGTCCATGTTAGATATGCATAGCGACACGTGGCAGAATTATGGACTTCAACTTTAGTAATCTCGACATCGTGCAGTCAGGCAGTGCCGATATGTTCCTTAAAATGGTGTTACATGTTCAATCGGATCAGCGAATGGCGTCACCTTATCGCGCAAGCAGCTTTAGCGGGGCTAGAAGAAAAAAAGAGAACGCTTCGGCACATGCACGGCTATCACGAAACGCTAATTAATTGCGGTGCAAGCCCACCAGGTTCGAGACTGCTTTGCATTTTGCGTGCAGGCCCTCGTAAAACTACATGCCTGTCAGCCCCGGCGAATTTCAAGATGATTTATCGTCCTCGCAAAACTAAGTTTTTCGCGGTACTTCGTGGCTTCTCGGCGGCTCGGAAAGGCACGGCCGACGCTTTCGACATGCAACTGTGGCCGCTGTGGGCACGATCCGTAAAGTTGACGTCGTTGATCGACTGCTATTTTATATCCTCACCATCTAGCCGGACTGACTTTGAAATATGTTTCTTTCAAATCTTTCGATGTGGAATTTTCGGTCGAAACGTTTCACGGTGACCCGCATACGCTATAATTGCGGGGAAATATTAAGTGCCGGGCTTTTACGTGACGGTGTTTAATACTTATAACTGAACCTGTATTGTCACGCGGATAATCATGCACACGAAAATTCATGTTGTACATCAATCTTTCCTTAATTTTAACAAATTATAACAAGAATCGATAAACTATATTGAGTAAAAGCCTTTTATAAGCTTTTTCTTAACACACTAATATTAATATACTGTGATCTAGGTCTACACCTGAACTTCAGAATGTAAAATAGTCATATACATAAGTAAATTGAATATAAAAATGTGTAAATACATTTTATACGTGCAAAATTATGCCAAATTATTAAAAAGGTCGGCATATTTTCTGAAGAATATGTTCAGCACATTTACGAAAGCTTGATTAATTAGAAATTTCATGGAAACATGCAGCTTCTTGTTGCATCGAATACTTTGTATTTTTGCAGGATATGAAACATCTAGGAAAAATATTATCATGTGAATATACCCTTTTATACATATAAAGTATTTTTCCTTGAGATTTATGTAAAATTTGCTATGTTAAGAATAGCCATTCTCGAATATGCCATTCTACATTATTATTTTCGTGTACAATGCCATTCAAATCTGGCTGTCCGGCAATTCGATATGCTTTGGTTACTACACTATGTGTGCACGGTGCGCAGCCACGTTTCCCTTTTCAGCATGCAAATACTCGTACATCGCGAGACAGACGTTTACGCTCAACGGCGGTAACATAAAGTGGGGTAAGGGTAAGATTTTACAACGAGCCCTAGTAAGAGTGATTTACACCTCGGAAAAACTCCACGACGTTTACGATAGCTACTCACGAATTATTTATAGCATCTGGCCATGGCAGGGTGAATTCCACGACATGTATTTTTCTTCGTTTTCCTGAAGAGATCGTCGAGGTCGTGACGAAGTGTCGTTGAATGTTTCTCTTAAAACCTTGGAAGGTATCTTTTAAATTAAAAGCATAATAGGAAACATAAGCAAATAGTAGCGAGCTGTTTGTGAAGCATACGTTTGTTTATTTTCTAATATAGTAATGTAATAAATGTATTATAAATTTATTATAAAATTTATACTATGTGTAAATTAGAATGCGTTTAAAAGTGCACTTGCATTCAAACATGAGTTGACGGTTTTATTCAAAACACTATCAAATTTTACAGAAAAATAATATTGGTCCTTTGTCATCAAAATATATATAGATTTATTAAGCTGTTTCCTTTATTTAGAATACAAGTGGTTCAAAATTAGAATTTGCCGCTTATCCTTCTCTTTGGCAGGCTGTTTGGCAGTCTGCAAGTTCCACGCACGCGCTAAGAGCTTACAATTCCATTATTAGGATACTTTAGACCTTCTATGCTCTAGTTGGCGTGCATTTAAGTAAAATTAGTCGATTCTAACGTGTAAGTATGCGAGAAGCTGCTGTGTTTAGCGGCTCGTCGCGGTGTGAAGCAATCCTGGGCGTCGATATGCCAGATGAGAGAGATACGCCAAAAACTTTGTGAGTATTACTCTGCTCATTCTTGCGAGCATTAATTCAGATAATTAATGCTTGTAAGAAAAATATATACATTGAACAATAAGATATACATTTATTATAGTAAACATATTTTTCATAAAATTATCTATTTATGTTTGCCTTTATACATTTTATCTTAGGAAGATTTCTTTAAGTGAAGTTATACCTAAAGAATATTCTTAAGCTTGAAAATATTGTGTTCAAATGTTATTATTCTCTCTTTTCAGTATTTAAATATATAGTACAATTAATTTTGTATAATTTGATATTTAAGATATACAATATTTAACGTCTGTTTTGTTTTTATGTTTATAAAGAATTAATGTAGGACTTACAACATAATACGTATGGCGTAAAATAAGAATTCTGGACCGATATCTCCGTATTTCTCAACTTGAAACGTTATATAGGCAATTTGACCCTTTAATGTTTAGTCTCGTACATCAAGTTCCTCTTCCTGTGATTAAATGAAGAAATACTATGGTCATCCGAGCTTAGTTTATGTATGTCCGTATTGCGGTGCATTTTATTCCGCGATACGTATAACGAGTTAATGGCATCTTTATGCGCGGCTCCGATGACATTTACTACTGCTCTATTCCCGCTTCGCTCACGTAACAGTCGCCCGTATTATCGTATTGTTTCCTGAAGCACTCTTCATTGTTCTTCCATTACGGAAATCGAGCTCCGGCTACGAGTTTAGAATTTATCGTACGATACGTACTGTCGTGCGCTGTGTATGGTATACATTTCGGAAATTTGGATTTTTGCCTATTTCCGCTCTAATTCGACTGTCGGACATATGGGTTTCTGGCACGTATCCATTCTCCACTAATATTTTCTAGAACAACTTACCACTTCGTGACTGTACTCCCATCGATTTAGTGGTCAAATTCGAATTTCAAATTAATCCCGACTATACATAACACTTAGTTTTCTATCATATCTTATGCTAATAACGTAGATTATATAAAAAAGTTATATTTGAATTTGATAGTATCCATAATTTAAAAATAGAAAAATTAATATTTAACATGTATAATTAAGTCCATTGTCACGTTTGTGTTTTGTAACCATAATATCATTATAAAGAGTATTTCAGGAAGACCTAAAAAGTCCTTTATTCATATTTCCTTAAACTAATTAAAGAAATTATTTTTTAAAAATATAATTACAAGTAAAAAGAGAAATAAATAGTATCTTGCATATAACACCAGATTCTTATTTTTACGAATATAGGGTAAAGGCAGGCATTATGGCCAGGCAGGTAATATGGCCACAACGCCCGTATTAAATATTCTAAACATTGATAAACATCAATAATGTATAAAAACCAATTATTGTAGCTATTCTTGAAGTTTGGTAACAAAAATCTCTCTATTTTGTTGTTATTTGTGGTTTGGTGCTTCATTGTTCTCCATAACCATCAAAATATACACGTCAAAGTGAGACATGGCACTTCCAACTAAGTAAGATTTTCAAATTAAAACAAAATAATTTTGGCTTTTCTCATTACACATTTCAAAACCTAAACCTTGGCTATATTTTTATAATAAATTTATCGTGCTTTTCCCATTATTTTGATAATTATAATGCACATTATTAAATGTATGCTCGGCGGCTAACATGGCCAGCGACAAAGGTAGCTACTATGGCCAGCGAGTACAACAGAGTATAGAGTACGCCAGTGCTGAGAGTGATAACAGCGAAGAAAGAAAATAGTTATTTCTCACAATTTATTAATAAATTGTGAGAGCACGGCGTTACGTAGAGAGAGTGGACATACACATACACATTTCTTAAATGTGTA